CGATGAACCTTCAGGCAATATGGAAGCATCATGCATCTTAAGAATGTTCCGAAGATCTCAAAATAAATATTGTGTTCGTTATGCCAAATACATACGAGATGGAGATTCGAAAACCTTCTCTATTTAAAAAAAAACAAAAACCGTACAAAGGTGAGAATAAGTTTTCTAATCCTTTCAAAACATAAATATTAGAAAGTTTATATATTTAGAAGTAGAAATACAGAAGATTGCAGATATTAATCATTTTGTAAAACGTCTAAAACACACTCTTCAAGTGATTAAATATCAGTGTGGTAATAAGAAGTTATCAGATGGCAAACCAATCGGTGGAAAAGGCCGTAATACAGGTAATAGCAATAAATAACTAATGCAGTAAAAAGTGTGAATTAAATGTTTTTCTTATCCATTTATAGATCAAATGATACTTCGTTTTCAAATCTATTTTTGTGATGCAATTCGGAAAAATAAGCATGATATTGATGAACTTTACAAGATCGCACAGGTTTGACACTCTAGATCCTTTATGCCTCAGTAACTACCTGGTTCTATTCTTTGTCAGGAAATCTTTTGACATTAGTTTTCGACAAACTTTGATCATCATCATGAATTTTGTAATGAAGAATGGCGTGGGTATTTATAAGCGAGACAAAACAACATTCATTATGATCATACACCACATGCGTTACCAAGAGCAGTTATGGATGAAATCAAGCTTTTATTTGACTCAATTTGTAGCAAGCAAAGTTTGATACGTGTGTTGAATGGTTCGACACAAAATGCAAACGAAGGTTTCCACTCTCTAATATGGACAATATCGCCGAAGCATAAAGCAGCATCAGAAGTGACATTTAATATTGCTCGTTCCTTAGCTGTATTTATTTTCAACGATGGATTTTATAAACTAGGTAATAATAGTGGAAAAAATTGAGAACCACGACATATTTTCAAGTCACATGATGAATAACTTTATTATTTTTAGTACAAATTTTCGAAAAGCTATGTAGTTATATCGGCTTTTATACAGCAAAAACATCACGATATCGTTCAACGATGAACGTTTACATACCGAAAAGAAAGAATATATGCGCAAACAACGGAAGTTGATGAATTTACATCAAGCGATTAAAGATACGAGTGAAGAAGATAATAACAATGCAGATGATACAGAAGATGTTAGTGATACATTTGATCAAGAAAATGACAATTATGATAACAACGATGGTAGTTCTCATGGGAGTTATCATGGTGGCAGTTCCGACGATGGTCGTTATGATGATAGTGATGAAGAAAAGAATGATAGTAGTGATGAAAACAATGATGATGGCGAAACTCAACAAGAAGAAGATCTCTATTATAACCCAACAAGCAGAAAATGGAAACATTCAAGTGAAGACAACTGAACTATTGAAACAGAAGCTTTTTAGTTTTATTTCTTTCTTTATATATACCGATTTATTTTTTTGTTGTTCATATTTCATTTTTTCGAAATTGATGGGAAAAAGTTAAAGAATTGCACACATATTTCGAGATTTTGACTATCAAAAATCTGTTTTCGTACGAAATAAACAAGATATTCGGAATCAGTATAAAAAACTACATCGAATAATACATATTTTATTAACAAATATTTTTTCTCAAAATTAGAGCCGTACTCCCCCTCAGCTATTCTTTACTCAATTTTTGCCCTGTGGTCCCATGGCTCTAATTTTGAGAAAAAATAATTGTTAATAAAATATGTATTATTCGATGTAGTTTTTTATGCTTATTTCGAATATCTTGTTTATTTCGTACGAAAACAGATTTTTGATAGTCAAAATCTCGAAATACAAGTGCAATTATTTAACTTTTTCCCACCAATTTCGACAAAATGGATTTTCTCAGCAACAGAAAGGAGTTAAAAAAAGCTCTGCGTACTTTTGAAGCTGATCTCTTGACCGATCTAATGATGTATGAATCAATGGTATAGCCCTTCACCCAAAAAACTAGCTAGATTTACAAAATGAGTCATACCCCATTTAACACTCATCGATTTGCACACCCATGGCAGACGAGTGTTTACCTTTCAAATTAGCTGAACATCTTTCTCTAAATCAGTTTTCAATACTGATTCAGAAAAAATTAGTTTAAACCTTCCCTCTTACAATAAAACTTCAAAAACGTCAATTCTACGATAGAAGTCATTTTTTTCGAATTTTTAGACCCTGTCGGTATTTCAACTTTTCCTCCATGAAAAAATGACCTTCAAAAGTTAAAAAGGTGATATTCGTGATCAGCTCGAAAAGACGAATCAGAATATGTAGGATAAATCAA